ACGAAGAAATAAACGATTAGGCAGTGCATACTGTAACAAAGGACAGCTCCCTATCATGCTCATCTTTCATTTGGTAATTGCGAGGCGCGCTATTTCTGAAAGGATTTTAAAAATAGAGCAATTGATTCTGCTTGATCAGAACTTCAAACTGCCTTGCTACTGTGCCAACTCTTTAGTGGGGAAAAAACTTGCAGTAAAAGGGTAGGCAAAGCAAATATACGGTTTCGGTCGCTGTTCGAAACAACCATATGAAAACTGCATCAATTCAATCAGCCAATAGTTATTCTACGAATTCCAATTTTCCCACTTGTTCATTGCTTTATATATAGAAAGAAAAACTGAAAAGTGAAGGCGAATCTGATGAAGCACGTGGAGGTAGTACACCAGAGTCACCTGCTCCTCCACGTCCTAAAGCACCAGCAGTAGGAGGAATAGCAGGTAATTTACACAATCTTCTTTGTGGCCAAGCTCTGTCGCTCATACACTCGTTAAGGTACACATGATCCAAATTATCAAACGTTAGCTGGGGTTGGAGGAGACATTTTTGGAGCCGATAAGAAGCCAGCAGAAGGTGGTCCTGGTGGACCCGGTGGAGGCCCTCCTGGTGGCGGACCAAAAGCGCCTGCCCAAGGAGGACAAATGGCTGGTGAATATTCCCTTAGTTCACTGACATTGCTCATTGAGAAATAGACAAAATAAGTATTTGCCCTTAAATGACGCTCTAAGCAAGCCTTCTAAAACAGGCCTGCATGTTTATTTTTATTATTAGGCATTCTTCTTTTAGATTGTGATTTTAGCTTGCAGAATCTTCAAAAATATTACATGTTTTCTTGATTTTTTAAACTACTTTGAAGATAGATAGCTGCAATCTTTAGCTCATACCCTAGTTATTGAAACGGTAAGGCTCTGTAAAATCGATAAGTCCCAAGAGAGTTTCAAGATTGAAGTCACTACCCTTGTAGTGTAAGCTAGGCTACTCTCTGTTTGCAAAACAATTAGCGAAAAGATAACAC